CCCCTCCCCCAGCCGCAGGTGTGCTGAGATGACCGGGGGGCTGGCAGGTGGCTGGCAGGAGTCCCCTGTGCTCACTAACACGTTGCCGGTGGGATCAGCCGGGCCAGCACAGGGTGGTCTCATCTAGCTGGGCCTTAAGGAAGAAACTGGGAGAGGCCTGTCCACTGGCGAGAGCATTTCCGACGCCTCCACGGCACCCTCGCCATCCCGTCCCTCTTCCTCTCCTGAAGGATCCGCGTAGCCAGACCTGTGTTTAAAGTTGGGACGCGGAGATAGGGAACAGCCCTCAGCTACCCAGGTTGATAGTGCTCTAAAGGGCGCCCTGAGGCCTGTTCACATGCTCTTCCAGGCCCAGGGCAGTCGCGGCCATGCCCCCTGCGGTGATTGCTTACTCCCCCTCACACAGCACACACGCTCTATGGCAGAACCAAAACTCAATTCAAAACAAACACCACCGTCATTCAGAATTAAGGAATCTTCTGCTCAGAGCTGGGCCACTGTGGCCACATATAAGAGCTGGGGTCTGGGGGGCTGCCGTGGCCCGGGGAGGGGCGGTGGCCTCCAGGGCCAGAGCCCGGCAGTGCCCGACCTCCCTGCCCCTGCTCGCCTCGGTCCGAGGTTACCTGTTGTGTGTGGTGACTCAGAATCTCAGCCCAGTAAGGCCTTTGGGACTTGGCAGTCTGCGTTGTAGTCACCGCCACCCCAGTCCTCCGGGATGCGGCTCGGGTAACATACTCGCGGCATGTACATTCTGAGTCCTGGGAGAGCGGCCAGTAGCTACGAGGGGAAAAGTTCTGAGTGGTAAAGGCTCACATGAAAGCGGAGACGCTGTGAGCCCTGGGTGGGGCTCGGCGTGGACCCAGCACGCGGCTGCGTGGGGCTCGTCACCATGGTGTTGGCAGCAGGCGGGTGAGGTGGTCAGCTCGGGGCAGCGCGGTACGGCGGCTCCCACAGTGGGCTGAGGACCGGCACCCAGTGACAGCTGATCCTGGCTGGCACTGTCCTGCCTTTCCGACTCACGTCGGCTCCCTTTCCTCCGCCGGG